GTATAAGTCACGCTGAAAGACCAAGGCTCTCATAGCTGATGTTAATAACATAAATTGAAGAGAAACATGAGAGACACAGAAAAATTTTATAGATCCCGTTGGCTGAGCGGAGGGGAGCCACTAATCTCAAGGCTGCCATCTCCAAATGAATTTTTCGGATTAGCTGCTTAGCTCTTTTTTTTTTTTTTTACAGTTTTTTTTTTTTGGTAGTTTTGACTAAGGCAATAGTTGTATTTTTTTTAAACGAAAATAAAGCGTGTGGCGAAATATGGCATAGCGGGCAAAGCAAAACACTCTTGCTGAGTTGAGAGGGTAAAAGAGGAGTGTGGCATATAAAACACCACTCTCAACTGTCTTTCCCCTTCCCATTCAAATAGCCCAAATTAAGGGCAGTCTCAAGTCGATACGTGCAAGCCAGGCTGATGAAACTCCTGTTTTCCACCATTTGTAATTAACTCCGTTTCAGGCTAGATTTGTCTGAGGATTTGTGAGTGACTAGTAAGTTCTTATACACCAGTTGGGTTAATATAGGGAGAGGACATATATAATTCTTGTTCATGGTAAAAAATACCGTGAACCCAGTTATGTTGCAAAATTAAAAAGGCAAGTGTAAACCTGCTTTAAGCCAGGAGGAATTATTTACTTGGGCTGGGAATAATAGCTGAGCTTTGACAACAGCAGGGTGATGCTAATATGCTGATGCTTTTTTAATGGCTTCAAGGTGAGGAATGTCTGTTTCTTTGTCTGTCTGTAAAATCAGGGTGTGCTTTCCACCTGAAAATGCCGTGGGATCAAATGGTCATTTCAATTAGTAGGACTATGAATACTGCTGCTGCACGTCGTGTTCCCATCTTGATGTCTGGAGAGCTTCAAGTACAACTGGCACAGACACTCAGAAGATCAAGGTCAAACTGTCTGCATAACAAATGATAGAGAGTATTAATTTGCCCACAGATGTGGCAGCAAAGAAGAATAATCTCTGTGTAGTTTATCTATACATCTGGGATTTGAAAGATTTAATTATTTACAACAAAGTGAATCCTGCATCAAATGTCCCTCTCAGAGATCTGTAAGGGACAGTTCAACACTATGTATTGCCCCTGTGCTGTATGCCTTCACCAGGGGGTCATAAATTACAGTTTTCCAGGTTTGCTGCTTTCAGGCTCGTGCAAGAAAAAAGAGAGTTTTACTTAAATGGGAGTAAATAAATAGTTCGGTTCGGTTTACTTTTTACAACCTCTGAAGTTAGTTTCTGTAGGCTGGTGTCTAAAATCTGGCATGTTGTAAGGTCTTTTTGCAGAACCTAACATCAAAAATAGAATTAATATGCAGTTTTTGAAAAGTTCACTGTTGGCAGATAGTTCTGTTAAAGTTGAAAAGCATTTTACCTATTGATTTCCATGGAAAGTGTTAGGCCTGTGGTAGATATTCTTGAAAATCTATTTCTGACTGCATTAGGAATGTTTCTAAAATCTTATCCACCAATTTAATATTTAGAATAGCATGTCATACTGAGACTTTCACCTTTTGACAGAATTCCCATTTACTCGTTGTGACAGACCTAGACAGAGAGCATACAAGTTACTTCTTAAATATTTTTCTTAAATAATAAGCAGATTTGGAACTCAGTCTACACTGATATTCATGACTTGCATGTACCTCCACTAGAACTTTGCAGAAACGCTGATGCAAAAGTAAGTTTAATTAAATTATTGGGCATTGCATGGAAATTGAACTTTAAAAAGATAAAGTCTCTCCTACAAGCTATCAAACGTAGACTATGATACCTTCAACTCAGGGCAGCCTCCTCTAAGAATTTCTGAATTGCTGTCACTGAAAGTACCAAGAGTGAAATATTTGCCATCAGTCTGTAGAACAAAAAGTAATTTTTGACATGATTTGGAGCAGATTTTACTTCAGAGTAGAATACCAAGTCTATATAAAGGGAGGCATGTATTGCAAGCTGATGTTAACAGCAAGGCTTCATGTGGGACTGAGATGTTTCCTGAGCTTCATGTGTGATCACTTATGATTAGAAAAAGAAGCTAAATTCAATAATTTGTTTGCTGCTCCCTATTGGACTTTTGAACAACAGAAAGCTTCTGATGCATGATATACCCGTTTTTTTCAAAGCCCAGCTTTATGAAAGAGATTCAGGTAAACTGATGTTTAGGTAGTGGACAGAGGTTGAGAGGTATTCCCAAAGGCTGCAATTGTTTTGGCAAGGGCGAGTGCTTAAATAGAGGGCATCTTTTTCTTTGCATCTTGGAGTCTCTAGGATTTGCTATTTACCTCACCATCAGTACCTGGTATGTGTAGGAAATATAAAGTGAGATTCTGGAAGTTTGTAGTGATGCATGATTAGGATTTTTTTGGTCAGCATTCTGATATTAACCTCAATAGACTTTTGACTGCATTAGTTATAGTTTTAGATTCGAGGTTCTGAATTGATTTGTTTGCAAAATGAAAATAAGTGCTGCATTTTTCTGATGGATAAAATGAGAGCTGTATGATTTTTGTTTTCACATGAAAGCTAATTTGTGACATATGCGGACACATCTGGACAGGTTCTAATCCCTAGAGTTTAAATAAAATGTTAATAATAATCTTTATTCTTATCCACAGTTCTCTTGTGTTACAGCTGTGTAATATTTCATCATCACGTTATTGGATCAGGCTAAAGTATACTGGTCTTATTTGTTTTGATTTGGCCATATAATGTAAATATGGTTCAGGTGGGTGTTGCACGAAAAAAAAGTAAGAGGAGGGGAAGAAAACGTGATTTAAAGCATAGTAAAGTCAGGAGGTGGACTCTTGAGTCTTTTAATTGGCTTATTAAGACACATAATGGAAGTGCAATACAATTATTTTTATTATTCCAAAATACACAACAGACAATACACATCTATGCTGAAAACATTTTTCCATACTTTTTTACTACAAGCTATTCTGTTTTGCAATTTTAATTCAAAATTCTCTCATTTAGAGTGGAATAATTGCTGATATGAATAATATGCTTAGTTTTAACACAAGTCAACTCATGTTTAAACTGAGACCCGATTTGATTTACTTATTACTTTATCACTTTTAAAGCTTCACTAGACTAAAGAAAATGCATATAAATCTTATAAATACAATCAAAAGAATTAATATCTTTTAGTAAAAAAGCTAAAAATGAAATAAGTTAAAATATCTGTTATAAGAGAGATTCAGAGTAACACACAGACTCCCTTTAAATAAGCATGTCTGCAAGGGTCTTAAAAGCAGACATGCCAGATTCCTGCCTCATTCCCTTGCCTCAATTCCTGACAGGTTCAATGTGTTCTTGGTGGCCTGTAGTGGTCACTACTCCACAGACCTCACACCCTTCCTTCCTTCCTTCCCTCCTTCTCCAACCCCCTGACAGTTTATTTCAATGTCTAGTTGTCTGTACCTTTCAGAAGATTTGCCAGTGACTACTCTGAATCTTTCTCTGGTTGTTCTGTTCTCTTTGAACATGGAGAACTGACTGTTCCTGTTCTGTGTAACAGTCTTCAAGCATGTAAAAAGTTCCACTAATATCCCCCCTCCCCCAAGTGTTACCTCTCATAACCAAACCAACCTCATTTATTTAAATCTTTCCCTCCTAAGGTGTTTTTTAGGCTTCTCTCCCTTCTTATTACTCCTCTGTGGGTTTTCTCCCCAGTCTTTCAATGCACTGAAGTTCTCTGTTCCAAGCTGGAAATAACCACTCAGCCGAGGTGAGTTCAACGTGTCCCGTTGAACTGAGTGGTGGAGGTAGGTTGTGTCCTGAAGGCTCTACTCCTTGCATTCCCACTTTTCTGCAGCACTGTGATGCTGTTGACTCTTGCTTCTCTTGTACAACCTCCAAGCCTTCGGTGCCAAACTGCTGCTGAACCAGTCACTTTCCATTCTGTGTCTGTGTAGTCGATTCTTTCTGATGGAGAAGAGTGTATTTTCGTTTTCCTGATGGGATTTCATTCCGTAGGCTTCAGACAAGATTCTCCATAATGTGAGGTAATTTTCTGCTCCGATTCAGTCAGTCTTCCAGCTTGCTTCCAGACCACCCCAACTTCATATTGGCCTTGGCAAAATTGCTGCAGAGCTCTCTGAATTCCATTCTCAGAAGGGACTACTGCCAGAAGGAACTGCTTTCAAGGCACGTCATCACACCATGTTTGCACTACTGGGGTCAGGTGCCTCTAGATTCACCCCGAAATAGTTTGTGAGACTGCTGTGTTAAATAATGCTAAAGAATTCTCATTATTACATTCTGTACTCAGGTGAAAATAGAGAGCTGATGATTATTTTTTCAAGTTAGCCAGGTATGAACTACAGTGCCTCTTACTTGTACTATTGTGGCACTGAGGCTGAACTAACAAGCCTTACTGAGAAAGTACAAGAATTCAAGTGATATTCAACATTTGAACATAGATTTTGGCTCTTAAATAAACATGCTGTTATTATTTATATAGCATAATAACTATATGAACTATTTTGCAAAATAAACCAGTCAGGATCTCAGCTGAGAGAAGTTTACAAACCAACTAATAGAAAGTAAAGGCACAGACATTGGTTGTAATAAAACCAGAGCAGCAAAGCTTTTTAAAGTAAGTACATTCTGAGGAGAGATGGAAAGCAGGGAGTAATAAAGACTTGAAACTTGGGAACTTTTTGAAAGCACAGAATAGCACAGAATAATCTAAGTGAACCAAGCAGTGATAATACAGGAATATAAATAAAGAAGTTGTGATGAAGAGGAGGCAAGGGCAGAAGAAATCAGAAGGAGCATTCTATAGATGTATGAAAATGCAACTGATGGGATAAGTAGGGAAGGCCTCAGGAAGAGTTTAGGTAGTAGCTCTCCATTTTGGCCTTAAAAATCTTTGTTTAAATCTTGGCATTCTAAATAGCCTCGCTTTTTATCTTCCACTTAAGCCTGATCAGTACCTTTATTTAAAAGGGAACATTTAAGGCCAAACTGCCACCTCAAGCACCCTTCACTGGTTACTTCCACTCTGACTGAAGGAGCAGTAGGATGGCCCCAGTCCCCTGACGGTGCAGTCGGTGGTGTCAGTGTCACAGGTCTCACAGTGACACTCTGTAGCTACTGGGTATGAATAGAAAGATTCAGGATGGTCACCACAGCCAGGGATCTTCACTGTTTCGTACACAACCTCCTTGAAGGTGCATGTTTGCTGAACGGATGATACTGGTGGATATTTGTATACTGGATCCTGAAATTACAAGAAGGAAATAACCGTTTTGGAATTTGCTGTGGGGTAGAATTCCAAATTTGTATAAAATAGGAAAATCCCACAGAGGTCGAAAGCATTTGGATCTGACTCTCCTAATTTCGCTTAGATCCTTAAATTTTTGCCTTTCAGGACTGATGTGGCAAATCTGTGTCATACCATCTCCAGACAATCTTTCAGGTCAATTACTTGTCTCTTCTTCAAATTATTTGAAAAAGTAGGAGTCTACACAGTGTCTGTTTGCAACCACAAATTGAACACAAGGCAGAGATCCCCACTGCCATACTTTTAACTCCAATTATACAATATAAACATAATGTGAGCAGCCAGTTAAAGAACTGAGTTTTACTCATGTCTTTTCACTCCCCCCCTTCTTCAGATTGACTGTGTATCTACTTTCCTGTTACTCAAGCTTTTCTTTCACAAGGCTCATCCTGCCAATGTGTTCGCTACGGACTGGAGAAATGGGTTGTTCATACATCACTTGGAATATTTAATTCTGGTGCCTGAAATTAAAATTAGGAGCCTCACCCTTGTGAAGCAGTATCCGGAGCACCACGTGGCGTTCACTGTAATGCAGAATTCACATTCTTCTCTTTCCACTGCTATGGTAATATTGGTGAGCTGGCAGCTATTGCAACAAATTGCTTTCCAGCAAAGTAACAGCACGTAACAATTAACTGTCTTCATCCTGTGTATAAAGCAAAAAAATATATGTGTACCAGAGACACACGTATAGTTTTTTCAACAGGAAATGTTTATTGAAACAGGGTAGTAGTAGTTCTATAACAGCTAGCTTTTGGAAACATCAATGAAAACAGAGACATTACATAGGTCTGTCCTTATGTTTATTGTTAAAAGAGTTTGATTTCCCTGAGAACCGAAATGGAATGTCAGCAATCTTTGCAGATTAATAATAGCAGAATACCATACCGGTTTCAATGAAATATTTTTGTCTAGGGTTGTGTACAGAGAATGTGCCCTGTCTTTAGGAGAAAGAAAAAGAAGCAAAGGAGAGAAAGCGCAAAGGACAATGTATTTTCAGTAGCAATTAATTACATAAAGTGTTTGTAATCTGAAAAAAAGATTTCTAGATCAGGATCTGATGAAAACTTACCTGTATTCTACTTGCCTTCCTGGTAGTAATAGCTGCAGTGAGAAGAAAGCCCTATGCTTCCCTTTTATACTGAATTGTGTGTAATTTATACCTCGAGGATTTGCAGTGTATTAATGCAGCAGGCATTAGTTTGGGACCTGGTGAAAGCGGATTAGTGTTCAGCCAGACAGTGAGATTAAGCCTTGTTAAGGGGAAAAAAGAAAAGCCAAACACACTCAGGAAGTGGTGGTGAAGGTTACTGTCACAGTGCCTCTCTAGAAGTTTCACTGGATTTGATTCAGTGGCATTTAGAAATAGCTGAGCCATTCCACAGTTTGAAAAAAAGGCTGAAAAGCCCGCTTGTGGAAAAGTTCAAGTATTTTAACTGTGTTCTGTGTCAGCCCTCAAGCTGGAGTTTGGGGTGCAAAGCTGGTCCTCTGGTGGTGGAAGACCCTTCATAGCTGGAGATGTTGTTATAGTGTTTCTTGCCTAATGAACATGTTCTTGGGGTTTTCAGAGTATCAATCTTAATTGCTTTTCTCTGAGTTAGGTCTTACCCACTGAGCTGCATACGTACTTTCTTTATTGATCTGTGGTCCAAGAAAGCTAGTACTATGAATTTTGTTAAGCCATGAAGAATTACAGTTTTCCTTGCTGTTCCTAAAAGCACTGTGGTTTTTCTATCCCAGTACGTGCAGTCCTGGTTCCTGTCTGCTGCATGCTCATATTTTTTTAACTTATGCAAGGGATGTCTGTATGGTGGAAAGGGACAAGTATGTCATAATGAGGCTCCAGATCTGTGTTTTTGTGTCAGTGATCTCAGATCAAATATTATCATGTTACAGGGAAAATGCTAATATTTTTAACTGACAGCCATGAAAACTCAATTTGACTGTATTCCCTAGTTTCCCATGATAATAAAAGATTCTGTGGATAGTGTACCCCTGCTTACTGCCCTTTTCTGCACTCACAGGTCAGTGATGTGTGCCTCTTCACCAGAATAATGGCAGAGAAAGAACGTGGTTGAGTTTCACATATCACTTCTGGGGCAAATGACTCACAGCAGCACTGTATTTACTCTCACCTGCCCAGAACAGCCGGTCTTGCTTTGTTTTGACTGTTCTAGTATGGTCAGTCTGACTTTCACAGAAATCCATCCACAGAAGAAAACTAGACAAGGACATATAGCTAAAAGCATTTTATCTTGAAAAGAAATTCTCACTGGCCTATTAGTTTCCAGCAGATGGGATACTTTTCTAAGTGGCTTTTACAAATGAGCCCTTTAAGTGTGTCATACCTTCCTGTGGTCCTGCAGACTGGCCATCTGTTCCAGCTTCCATGAAGTCTGCAATGCCTTCATTTGTTAATGAATTTCATATCACACCAAAGTTAGAAAGTGAGCTGCAAATTTTCCCTGGACATCTCCTGTAATAATGACTTTGTTTGAAGGAGAAGACAGCTCAGTTAAATGTGTAAAGAAGACAAGAAATCAGACATTTTCCTCTGTGCTAATATAAACTCTGTGATTGTTTGATAGTGGTCTTCTGTGTCAGTTGGTGTCAACACAGTCTATCTTCTCAGAGAAGATTCTCAGTTGCTGTAAATCACTAATTCCAGAAATGCCAGACAAAAGCTGATTACAATTTGTTATAACCCTAGTGAGGATCTGGTCTTTTCTAAGTAATTTATACTGGTTCTAAGTAATTTATGCAAATAAATAAATGCAATTTGCAAAGGACAGTACAGAAAATATCTAATGTCTCAGTTGTTGTGATCTGTTTCATGACTTGAAGAAGTCATACACATCCACTAAAAGCACAGTTTCACAAGCAGAGAGTGTGAGTTCAGTCCGTGCCATGCTGTTTCTTCCCTCCCCTAGTTCCTTGTTTTGGCTCACTCAGCCTCCTCACTTGTGGAAACGGGAATTAGGGAAATCATTCTGTTAAAAGTAAAAAACCAATCCAGCTGTCTTTGACACCACTGTTGTTAATCCATATCAGTTTGTTCCACAGTGGGAGGAACAGCTGTAGCAGTGTAAGTGATGGGGTTGACTGGGGAGTGTGAGTGAAGGTTAAGGTTAACAGAAAATGCTTTACACATGTTCATGAAGCCACATTGCAAACAGAATACAAACTTTTTAACAGGAAGATTTTGTCCTGCACTGACTTCAGGGGCATTTGTTCTGGGCTGACTCTCCAGCTATCAGCTCTGCTACATTCAATGGGAGAATACATGAATATGCATTTTTAGGGTAACAGGAAATTGCAAATTGAAGTCAATTAACCCCCAGCCTGCCATTTGAGGAGCAGTAATTTGGTGAGTTATTACTTGGTTAACTTTGATTTTGATTCCACACCTTTTGCTAGAAAGATACACAAAAGGAACTACTCATGAAGGGCAAGATGCTATGTAAGTACATGCTTTTCTAAGATTATTAATTCATACCTCTGGGAAATGTTTATATGCTAATTGTATCTTACTCCTTCAAGTTTATATTCCCATTAGATTAAAAAGATTATGGTAGTTTTGAAGGGAATAGCAAAATTATTTATCCAAACAACTATAATTTTCACATATATGTGAACATTACGTGTAGGTTCTCTGTTACTGAAGTTTGTATCTATTTGAGAAATAGTAATGCTTTCCATTTTAAATGGTTTATATTTCAGTTTAGGGAATAATATCAGAGGAAGGAACACTTCACATACCACAGAAACTTTTATGTAGTGGTTTTATCTATCCGGTTCCCAAGCAGTATTGTCCACCCAGGATTTAGCAGCTGTCATTATGCTTCCAGGCTGGATGCTAGGTGTTGCCCAGACTGTCAGAGAAGAATTATTGTAGCCCTATTCCTGGAATTCTCCTGGAATTTATGTGTACAGCCTAGGAAAATAAAAAATGCTGCGTTACGTCTATACAGAAAGATTCAGACAGATCTGCGTGTGCTCTGCAATTCATAGGTCTGGGATGTCTTTGCAAATGGCCTTAGCAAAGCAGCCTTATGCTCTTTCTACACCTTTCTGGAATTAACTTATTAGTGGGTTCGTTTTGCAGAATCCAAGCTATAGCAAGACCCATGAGAGGGCTCAAGTTGCCACAGAACCCTGTAATTACCTTATAATTGGGAATGGGAGGGTCCTAAGGGAGCACTTAATGGTCAGGACCTCTGTCAAGGGAGATTGCTCCACTCCTACTGGAGTGAGTGCAGAAATCTGGCAAATGCTGCAATGGAATATCTTCAACCTGAGCAAAGGAGCTGGTTCATCAAAGTTTAGATATTCCTGTAAGTGAAGACTCACCAACTTTTGTGTAAGTCACAGTGGACATCAGATTCACATGTTAGTGCCTTAGTGGCACCTTGGGGAAAAAAAGGGCTTCTCCTATTGCTATATTTTTTTGTGTTCTGTGACTATTTCCCTTGGACTGTTTGCTGCTGTAACCTGGCAAGCCATTGTTACCATCACTGTCACAAGGGAGCACTTGCCATGCTATTTCTAATCACTTCAACCAGAAGTGCTGTGACACGTTCTGTTCTTGTTTCCTTTCTAGCAGTAATTGCTCTTTTACTCCTGCTTTTCTGCTGCTTCTTTCTGCTTTTTCTTCTGTTTGGTGGTTGGTTTGCTTGTTTGTGGGTTTGTGTGTGATTGTGTACACTGGGGTTTTTTTGTTTTGTTTTGGTTTTTTTTGTTGTTGTTGTTTTGGGTTTTGTTTGTTTGTTTGTTTTGTTGGCTTTTTTTTCCGTTGCAAAAGTATCTAATACACAACAGAAAGCTTTATGTTCCTTATATGTTCTAAACAAATGCAATTTCTTTCTTTAAGTGGGATGTTGTTGAGACTAACAATTCTGTGATTGCAAGTTGTAAGCCTGCCTTGCTTAAAAGAAGGTAGTTTAGATCCTTCAGAGAACTTCAGCACCTAACAAAGTGCTACTGGAAAACCTGGCTAAGTGTGTGCAACTTATCCACCATGAGTAATAAATCTGCCTCAGTCCTGATAGAAGACGTATTGAACCTTCTTGTGGGAAAAAACATGTCTGATATAAAAGACAGGTCTTACCTGTAAACTATTCCAGCTGCAGACTAGCTTTAGCTTGCAATATATTCTTAAATACTTCTTATATATTCTTAAATTTAAACGTGTCAAGGGACATGGTCTGAGGTTTGTTACATTCATGGTTGTGGTTACATGTTTTAGGCCTTGTTAAATTGATATGTTTCTGAGGATAATAGCTTCTGCATATGAAAGCTGGTTTGCATTGAAAGTATGTCTCAAGGCATGTCAAAGGTGCTTAAACCTGTGGCTTAATTAACATTACATGTGGTAATGTTGGAGTTGGGCACTTCAGTGCCATCACACTGAGTATGTGTGATGTCTCCAGTTTCTTTTGCACACAGCCTGTCTTGACTGAGCACTCTCCCTCTCCCCTTTTTTTTTTGTATTTGGCCACATGTTTTTCTGCACAGGTCCAAATTGAACCCGAGGTATATTGCTGCTCCCAGGTGATTGACTAAATTGATATCCTTGAAGTACACAGCTTGCAAATTGCTTCTGAGTCTTTGCTCAAGTCTGGGCTCCCTGTATTTCACAGCAGAGC